GTTTAAGTGTGCGTCACTTTAAACTGCAAAGCATGTAATTTTGGGTGCGGTTGTAAAACCGCCATAAGAGGGAGCAAGAGAACCTGCTGGATTGCTGACTATGCTGGATTGATGGTTTGCTAACTGCGTGTTTCCTGCTGCTGAGTTTTTGAACGTCGAAGGAAGAAAGGAGGTTTGACTTCTTTATATCTCTACTGCGAGAAGATATATTACTGGACTGATATTTGTAAGTTTACTGACCTCTTTTTCGACACTGGACTTTGCAACTGAATAATCCCCGAACGGACTGAACTAGTGAATGATATATGGACTGTTTGACTATGCTATAAATCTTACTGGAATAAACTATTTAACAGTGTATCTGTTTTACTGAGTGTAAGCTACAAAAACGTTTATCTCACATATTTGCCTGCCTGCCTGACTGCCGTGCAAATTCTGCTAGGGTGTATCCCTAACAGTGATGGGTGGGCAGGTGGGGGACCTGAAGTACCTGCAGGAGGTCAGATCCAACCTGGGGGGGAGGGAAATCCGCCCAGGTGGTTATTCACAGTCGAGGCGGGTTTGATGGCACACAATCGATCAGGAAAGTTGCTATTTCTTTTCAGAACAACAGAAGAGTTGGAAGGGCTCCCCCAGAGGTCTTCAAGTCCAGCCTCCTGCTCAGATAGGCTTTGATATCCAAGTTAGCCCACAGGCTCGCTGACCCCGGGACGCTGCCGAAGAGGGGCTTGGGGTCTTTCATAGCCCTGTACAATGCTGCTTGACATGGTCACAACAAGACAGCACTGTAAAGAAGCTGGAAGCACCCAGCTTCATCCCCGCCGTGGAAAACAGGCGCAGGGGACTTCCAGCTGTTCAGCGAGTTGTGTTGTCCCGCTCTCCCTCTCTCTCTCTCTCACACACACACTCAGATTCCCCAACTCCCTTCACCCACACCCCAGAACTGTCCCTGTGATGACCCAAAGGGGTGTGGCACAAAGGCCACACAGTCAGATAATCAATAGGGGTCCCTTTAATACCTCCAACTTTGCCCCCAATGTCCTGTTTACCTTCTGGCTGGAGAAAAACTCTCCCAGGAACAGCCTTTAAGTGGAGGAAATTCAGTCCCAAAACATACAAACTGTAACTAAAAATCCACACCACTTCCTTCTAGCCCTGATGATGTTACCTAGTTGGGTCATGAAATGCCTGCAAGAATGCAACCAAGTTTAGAGACCACCAAAGACCCCGCAGTCGGCCTCCTCCTCCTCCACAAAGCCCACTCCCTTCTAGCCCTGATGATGTTACCTAGTTGGGTCATGAAACGTCTGCAAGAAAACCACCCAGCTGAGAGAGCACCAAGGACCCCATAGTCTACCTCCTTCTCCTCCTCCTGCTTTCCACCTCCTTCTCCTTCCCCCTACTCCTTTCTTCCTCCTTCTCTCCTCCTCTCCTCCTCCTCCCCTTTCTCTCTACAAACCCCCCTCCCTTCTATCACAGATGATGTTACCTAATTGGGTCATGAAACGTCTGCAAGAAAACCACCCAGCTCAGAGAGCACCAAGGACCCCACAGTCATTATTTTCCTCCTCCTCCTCCTCCTCCACTCCACTCCTCGAACTCCACTTCCTTCTAGCCCTGATGATGTTACCTAGTTGGGTCATGAAACGTCTGCAAGGAAACCACCCAGCTCATAGAGCACCAAAGGACCCCACAGTTCAACCCCTGAGCTCCCACTATTCTGTACCTCATTCAGCGCGCACATCCGTGCGATGGAGCCAATGTTGTTGGTGATGGTGATCAAGGCTGCCCGGGCCAGGTCCTCCTTACTGGCGGCATCTCGCTTCTCTTTGCTCATCATGTTTCCAAAGCTGATAGGGAAGAAGAAGGGGACACAGGGCAGTTTTTAAGGGATTGAGCCCCACCATGTCCAACACACACAGAGAGCCAGACCGTCAGAGGCAGAGGAGAACCCCAGGCGAAGCTTTTTAAAGACTCGTTCATCAGAAGAAACGAATCCAGCCACGACGATGGCTAGAGCAGTGCAAGAACAGTGCTACTACATCTCCCTCTGCTCAAAATCAATCTAAAACAAGGATCTCCAACCTTGGCAACTTTTAAGACTTGTTGTGATGACCCAGGGTGGGATACAACATAAACACAGTCACGAAAACAGGTGAAGCCCCTTTTGTCCCTTCACTTTGCTTCAAAGCTCCAAATATCCTTGACTGGAGAGAAAAAACTCCCCCACAAACAGTTACGAAAAGGAAGAAATGCCATTTAAACTAAAAATGCCTATAAATTATAAAGAGCAAAAACAACACAAACCGCACTGAAGCAATTAAGGGAACCAGGCAAGATAAGGGCTTGAAGACGTCCACAGATACCGGAACACACACTGGGAAGGACGCCAAACTCAGAGAGGAACGACACACTAGAGATATTTCACGCTTTGTTTCCAGCACTGGCACATACACATGTCCGTCCTTTTAAACGGTTCTCATAGCTGCAGCCCATGAAGGGGATCAAGGCCCTTTCCTCCCCCATAGACCACGCCATTCATGTTTTTCCCTTATCCTCTCCTCCCTGTGTGCCCTAGGATGGAGAGGGGATGGGCCTGGGTCTTCCTCTGACTGCCCAGCCAGCTCTGCCCTTCCCCAGCCTCCTCCGCAACCTCTGGAGCCCCACTCCCACTCCCTGTCCGCTGTTCCTCCTCTCCCTCGGAGAGTCTCCAACAGGTGCATGACACTTGTGGACTTCAACTCTCAGAATTCTCCAGCCAGCTTTCCTTGGGGAGGATTGCAGAGTTAGCTCTTCCCTGCATGCATTATTTTTCCCCGTACAAATATACTTTATTATATATTAAAATATATATTGTAATAAATTAGATTTGTTAATATTATATAGCAGAGGACTCCAAACTTGGACACTTTAAGACTCGTGGACTGGAGAATTCTGGGAGTTGAAGTCCACAAGTCTTAAAGTGGCCAAGGTTGGAGACCCCTGATCTAAAACCTTCGCTGCAAAGATTTCTGGGTAAAATGGCACCACCAACAACAAACTCAAAAATTCAGGGGGGGGGGAAATATTAAAAAAAATATAAGACTCTTCCTGACCTGAATTTGAGAAACAGAAAAAGGTCAGAGCTGAAGCCTGCAAAAAGGAAATGTCAGCAAGAGTCGAGACAGATTTTTGTATACAGCTAGGCCTTGGACTCACAACCTTTCATTTTGTGACCGTTTGAAGTAACAACAGATCCGGTTAAATGTCTGTGGAGATTTTCAGCCATCCAGGTCCTCAGTTGTCCCAGAGGTGCTTTTTCAAGAGGCAACTGGACTTTCCGGCTTTTCTCTGAAGACCTTTCGCTTCTCATCCAAGAAGCTTCTTCAGCTCTGACTGAATGGTGGAGGAAGGAAAGGATTTATATTCCTTGCAGACAGCTGGTCATTTGCATCCTTTTTAGAGAGTCGTTGAGGCCGCTTGGAGGTTTGTCTGTGTCCTCGGTTATCCCAAAGGTCCTTTTTCCAGGAGGCAACTGGACTTTTTGGTTTTTCTTTTGAAGACATTTTACTTCTCATCCATGAAGCTTCCTCAGCTCTCACTGGATGGTGGGGAATGGAAGGATTTATACTCCTTGCAGACATTTGTATCCTTTTAAGAGAGTCGTTGAGGCCACTTGGAGGTTTATCTATGTCCTCAGGGTCACCCGAGTAGTGCAAATGGGTGGGGAGCTTTCTTGGAACTATTGAAAGCACCATGTTGTGGAGCTGTTGGACACAGCCGTAGTGTCAGCCTTCAAGATCTTCTACTATTGCTTTGCATCTTTCGGCTGCCATAAGTAACGGGGGAGGAAGGGGGAAAAGTCTGGGAAGCGAGCTGGAGGTGTTACAATCTAGTATTGTATAAAATGAGGAGGGGGGAGTATAAATTCCTGCTTAGGTTTCTATTTCTCGCTTAGCTTTCTTTTCTCTGCGCAGCTGCAAACCTTTATCAAAGTATGCCAAGGTCAACGGACAGAGGCCTCATCACCACCTGAAGATGTCCACATGATGATATTCACAACTTTTAATTGGAAGAATCATTTGAACTATTGGGGGTGGGAACATTTCCATCACTTTGTACATGTGATTTGCGCGCCTGATTCCTCAGATTCAGAATTCTATGGTTGATACCACTTCATTTCCAGTAAAAGATATCTTTTCTCTAATCTAAGGAGTCTAAGTATTTCTTTCTTGAATTTTGGATGGAGCACCACCTGACACGTAGGCCATATTGGGGACGAGTCTGTGTTGTATCTGCAGACAGCTGGTCGTTTGCATCCTTTTAGAGGGTCTTTGAGGCCACTTGGAGGTTTGCCTGTGTCCTCGGGGTCACCTTCTTGGACCTGCTGAAAGGACGGTGTTGTGGAGCTGTGCTTTCTGCAGGATGTTTTTCCTCTGCCTCGCGTCCCTTCCCTGGTGAACAATAGCTGTTGGGAGAGGAGTCTCTGTTGCGTCGGCATCTCACACTGAAGCGCAAATGCTTCCTTTGCCATTTTTCTGGAAATCCACACATCCTCCCTCCCCCACATTCCGAAGGGGGTTCATCCCAAAAGGCATAGCTAAAAATGTCTACTACTCAGCTGACCCCGAGGACACAGATAAACTTCCAAGCGGCCTCAACGACCCTCAAAAAGGATGCAAATGACCAGCTGTGTCTGCAAGGAGTAGAAATCCTTCCATTTCCCCCACCATCCTGTCAGAGCTGAAGAAGCTTCTCGGAGGAGAAATGAAACGTCTTCAAAGAGAAAAAACCCAGAAAGTCCAGGTGCCCCTTGGGAAAAAAACCAACTTTGGGTCTCTATGCCAGCAATCCCCATTTTTTGGCACCAGGGATCAGTTTCAAAGACCATTTTTCCAGAGGTGTGTGTGTGTGTGTGTGTGTGTGTGTTCGCGTGCAACCTAGGTCCCATTCATGCGTAGATGAAGCTTCAATTGTTCACCCACCGCTACACTTCCAGCTGTGCGGCCTGGTTCCTAACCAGCTCCAGACTGGTACCGGTCTGCGGCCCAGGGGCTCTCGGCCACCCAGTGTGGGTTTTACTAAGCCGCCAACCCAACGCTGACTTGTGGGACCCCCTAGACCTAACCACCGACAGGGGGGGGTGCCCGGGTTTTGTGCGCCCCCCCCCCCCCCCCGGCACCCCCGGGGGGGGGGGGGGGGGTTTCTTACCTGGATGCGATGGTCCAACCGGGCAGCCCAAAGCGCTCGTAGTCCCCTCCGTAAATATCCCGCACGAGTTTGTCCACTTTGGTGCTGTCTCCGTGGGATGCCATTTCGAGAGCCTCTTCGAAGGTGGAGCAGCCGGTCAGGAGGCAGCAGAGGCCGAAAAACGTGCCCCCTCCAAGGCTGGCAAAGAAGACACGGGGTCAAGCAGGGCTGGGGGTCCAGGGAAGAGCAGAAGGAGGGGAAATGTATGTCTCGTATTTATCTGCTGCTCGTCTCGCTCTTCAGCCCACTTCGTCCTCGTTCGCTCATTTTGGATATCCTGCTAGCTGGCGTGCATCTGCCGAGTCAGCTCTGCGTGGGGTTATGTCCATGGGAACAAACTGTTCCTGCAATTTCATCTCGAAACAAGGCCAGGAAATAATTCTAGACTCTTTAACCATTTCCATTTTTTTTTAATGCCCGTTTTCTGGGAAGTCAAGTTCCCATTACGGAAGAGATGGCTTATTTCTATGGCCACTCTTGATTGACATGCCACCTTCATTACATTTTAACAATTAAGCCAACGCAGCAAGCGCACGCAAATGCTTCCTCCTCCTCCTCCTCCTATTTTCCCCCGCAACACAATCCTGTGAGGTCTGTCGGGCTGAGAGAGAGAGAGTGGCTCAAAATCACCCAGCTGACCTTCATGGGTAAGGTGGGACTAGAACTCACAGTCCCCTGGTGATGGGCCTAAAGTTACCCAGCTGGCTTTCACACCTGAGGAGGAACAAGAACTCATACTACTGATTGGCCCAAAGTCACCCAGCTGGCTTTCATGCCTAAGGCGGGACTAGAACTCACCGTCTCCTGGTGATTGGCCCAAAGTCACCCAGCTGGCTTTCATGCCTAAGGCGGGACTAGAACTCACTATCTCCTGGTGATTGGCCCAAAGTCACCCAGCTGTCTTTCATGCCTAAGGCGGGATTAGAACTCAAGATCTCCTGGTGATTGGCCCAAAGTCACCCAGCTGGCTTTCGTGCCTAAGGTAAGACTAGAACTCACAAGTCTCCTGGTGTACCAGCCATCATTCGTGCCTAAGGCGGGACTAGAACTCATTCTCTCCTGGAGATTGGCCCAAAGTTACCCAGCCAGCTTTCATGCCTGAAGGTGGCACTAGAACTGGCCGCCATCTGCCTTTAAGCCTGGTGCCTTAACCACTAGGCCAAACTGGCTACCAATTTATCAAGCCATCCCCGTCTGCACCCAATCAGTGCACTTCCATTAAGCTACGGAAGGTTCTGCGCCCGGCATCAAAACCTTCAGGGACACCCCTAGACGATCCAAGCTAAAAAGCCCGTCGGACTGAGCCTCACCTGGTACCTGTCACCCGCTTGTAATTGTCTTCGGAATAGACGGCCAGGATGCTGACCCCGGAGCCGATGTTCACCAGAAGGAGCGGGTAGGGATTCTCCAAGTTGAACGGGACCTTCTGGCATTTCTCGGGATCCGTGGGGTTCTCAAAATAGTAGCACTCCGAGTGTCCGTTGAACCCCACCGAATCGATGTAGAGAACTCCCTTGATGAGGCAGTCGAGCTCATCCATCTTACACAGCTGAAGGTCCCCCACCTGTTTGGAGAGAGAAGCTTTGAAGAGAGCCAGGGAGAAAGCGGGGGGGGGGGGGGATCTTTCTCTAATAAGCAGATAGAACAGAATATCAGAGTTAGAAGGGACCTTGGAGGTCTTCTAGTCCAACCCCCTGGCTCAAGCAGGAGATCCTATACCTGTGATGACGAACCTATCGCACGTGTGACACAGGTGCCACGCAGAGCCATTTGTGCCGGCACACGAGCTGCAGGCAAACTTACCTCACTGGGCATGCGCGCACCTCACAGATGATTTTCGGCCTCCCAGAGGCTTGAGGAAGGCTTCTGTAGGCTTTTCAGGCTGAAAACTAGGCCCATTTCATCACTTCCTGTTTTTCTGGAAATACCGGAAGGGACGAAACGGGCCTAGTTTTCAGCCTGCAGAAGCCTTCCTGGAGCCTTTGGGAGGCCGAAAAGGGTCTCAAACCGGCTGAAAATCAGCTGTGGGGCGCAGGGCGGGTAGGGGGGGGGGGGGGGGGGGGAGGGGGGGATGGCGCACGCAGGGGGGGGGGGGGGGGGGGGGTCGCGCTCATTGCCTTCTGGGTGCTGGGACGCAAGCGCGGGTATGCAAGCACACGCACAATTTTTGGCACCGGAGCCCAAAAAGGTTAGCCACCACTGCCCCATACCATTTCAGACAGGGGGATGTTCAATCTCTTCTTTAAAAACTTCCAGTGTTGGAGCACCCACAACTTCTGGGGGCAGGCTGTTCCCCTGTCAGGATTGTTCTCACTGTCAGGAAATTCCTCCTGAGTTCCAGGTTGCTTCTCTCCCGGAGGAGTTTCCACCCGTTGCTTCTTGTCCTGCTGCCTTCAGGGGCTTTGGAGAATAGCTGGACTCCCTCTTCTTTGGGGCAGCCCCTGAGAGATCGGAAGACTGCTATCATGTCACTCCTCGATCTACCGGACGGATTCCAATCCTACAAATGCTCTAGTTCTACCAGCTTAGATAATAGGATCCCACTATTATCTCAGCTGATGGAAACTGTTATCATTCATCTCTTT